TTTAGACATCTGCCTTGTGAGAGCCGGCTTCCTGTGGTGCTATCACCAGACATATTAACTAAGACCGGATATACCAGTTGCAGCGAATCCATCGAGCAAGTGTTGTCACACCAGGTCTGCGACTTTGTGGCAGCTGGAAATAAAGCATCCGCCATTAAAAGAATTCAGTGTAATCCCGCTTCTTGGCCCGTTCGCCATGACATCCAGAAGTCTTCTTCTCTGACGGAGACTTGCAGGCAAGATGTTGAGCTGACGACTTCAGAGGTTGCTGAAATCGGGCACCAACTTCATTCCTGCCCATCTTTTTGGTCATCCTCACCGTCCAAATCGCCATCGTCAGTTCACCGTCTAGAAGACGAAGCTTCATGCAAAATCCGAAGGGATTTGTCTAACACCAGTCTGTTGGAAAGCAGAGCGTTCCGCCTCCTGGGGCCTAGGTTACAACGAGGTTCTATTCAGCAAGTATTTCAGTATCCAATCGGGGAACAGAGAGGAAGAGAAGCAGGAATGAGTGAAGTTGGAATTGCTGCACCGGGCAAGTCAAGTTTGTGCGATGCTTCTTTTGCCCTTTGCTTAATTCCATATATTCACCATTTACTGAGCAAATGACACTTTGATCAGCAATGCGCTATACAAATGCACGTAAACACACACACACACACACACACATATATATATATATATATATATGCGTATGTATGAAGAACTTATTTGCTCTTAGACGCTTCTGTACATCAAAAGATGCCAAGTTTGGCTGAAACTTTACAGATTATCTCTAGATCTATTCATTCTTATCGGTAAATTTTGATGTTGACTTCAAAACCCTTTAATTGCCGGTCAACATGTCATTATCACATACACAGGTTTTTGATCCCGCATAACTATCTTTAGGTTAAAAGGGATTCAATTATCTTTCGACTCATGTTAATCGATTAAATATACCGAGTCATGCCACCCGTACGTCCAGTAAAAATGTTTGTGATAATTTGAGTGATTTTAGGAGAGAGCTCAGCTTTTATAGGACCCGGCAACAAATTGGCACAGATCGTTCAGCATCTTGATCTGGTCTCGGCCAAAAGGGTGAAATATTCACCAGACGTTTGCAAAAGAGGTGAGATGAAAGATGTCTCGACTAAATGCTTATTTTACGGGGTTTTTACTTAATGCTCGGCTTGGTTCTATTCAAATATGGTGAATATTAAAATGCGGACTAGTCTTTCAATATTGTGAGCGCCGCGGATAAGTTAGGAAAATCGATATTTAGTCATCTGCGAGTTTTCACAATGTGTGCTTCGGAAGAATTTTTATAGATTATGCAAAGTTGGATATCGAGTTGGAGGCCTCCAGAAAGAAATTACTGATAATAGCAAGACCAAATGATTTCAAAAGGTTACTTATCATAAAAACAAATCATCTTTTCAACAATCAGCTGCATTTAAATCATTTTAAACTTCATATGGCTTCATTAACGGCCAATATGAAAAT